TCCCTTTCATGTACATCTGGCCAGGTTTCTGTTGGTGAAGGATGTGACGCAGACGCAACAGCCCACCTTCATTGTCTGCATAGAACAACTGAATGGCATATTCAAGCTTCCAGCTTGTTTCCTGTTCCACCCCCAACGTTCCACCATCAATCACCTTTAATGTAGGAATAACAATTCACAACCAAAATCATCTATATGCACATGGCACGATAGCACTAACCTTTAGACAATATCGATATTTAAAATTCTCTAATGTAGACAACTGGACAGCTAAAATCAATCAAACAACTTGTTAACGTACAACAGTACAAGCTCAAAACTTTAGAGCAATAAAAGTCATACTTTTGTGATTTCGAAAATAAATGGCTGCAAAAGCCACTCCATTCTTGAAAAAAAAACTGATGTTTTCAACCTCAACCAGAACCCAACGCTTGCTAAGCTAAATATAAATCACAGATTCAGTTCATAACTAAAAAAGAAAGGGGAGAGAGAGAATTGATGAAAAACTGAAAGAACTGACGGGCAGTCTCGGCAGTTTGGCCAACGACGATCTTGAGGAAGGAAGACACCATGCTTTGCTCATCATTCGCAGATAACATTCCCTTCATTGGCATTACCAGTCCAAAACCCTAATTTAATTCAAATTCATCTACTTTAATTAATCAATCACAGAGAATAAATTAAGCTCCAGTGATCTTCACTTTTCCATTCTGTTTTTGAGAGAGGTAGAAGGAGGAAAGGGAGGACAAGAAACGTTAGAAAATTGGTGCTGCTGGGACATTCGTATTTGTCTAATTAAGCTAAATTGGAGAAACGGAGAGAGAAAAAAAACAAAAAAGGAAGGGTTTTTTTGTTTCATGACAAAATCCGCGTTTAGAATCACAATAACTAATTACAGAAAAAATCATTTTAATTTTTTTAATTTGTTTATAATTTTTTTATTTTAAACAAGCTTATAATTCATTCTTATCTATGGATTAATTTCTAAATAAAAACTCACAACAATTTGAACTAAAATGTTAATCATGAATTAAAAAAATTAAAAATATATTTTTCATAATATTATATCTCAAAAATAAAGTTATAATTAATAAATAGACTTGTATAAAAATTAAAAAATAATAAAAAAGTTATTCTTTTTTAATCTTGATGAAAGGATTGGTTTTTGAAGTTATTCGTGCAACACCGAGAGTCGGATAGAACAAAATTATTTTAGAATCTTATAATTTTATTATTATTATTATTTTAGATTTTTTTTATAAAATTTGTACTTAAAAAAAATTTTATTCTTCTTTATTTATTAATTTTTAAATCAAAACTTGTAATGATTTAAACTAGAAGATTAATGAAGAATTCAAAACCACATACTTTAAAAATATATTTTTTATTAGAATATATCCAAAAAATAAAGTTATAATTAATATATAGACTTGTATAAAAATTAACTAATAAAAAATTAAATTTAATTCTTATTTAATGTCGATGGGAAGATTATTTTTTTGAAAGCACATGTATTTGACACACACACATACACACACACACACACACAAAGTAATTAATAATTTTAGCATAAAAAATTATATTTGAATACTTAGTTGATTCATTTAAAAAATTATTTTATTTCAAATAAATTGATTTTATAATGTTAAAAAATATATAAATAATTTTTAATAAAAACAATGATTCTAAAATATCATATAAGATAAGCATTTCAATTTAAAAACTTAAATTGTTAAGTAAGGTTCTAAAATATAATTCACATTATTCTTTAATACTTGTTTGTGTGTGTGATCGGAAAAGTAAAAAATATATTCAATTAACTTTTTAATTAAAAAAAATTCAAACTAATTTTCATTTCGAGTATAAAAATCAAATTCTTCATTTTAAAAGTAGGAAAACTCAAGAAAAATATAAGCCTATGTTCCAATTTTGTTAGTTTAAGATTCTACGTCGCCTTCGTTTGAACAAATAAGAAAAAAGAAACGAGCAGTGCTTCAAAAAGAAATGGAGATGTTTGGATTTACGAGTGCTAATCAAGTGAGGGACTAGGCTACGCTCCCGAGCCTTGGGGACCGAGTTGCGTGTCTACGACAAAGAGGACCGGGGTCGAGTGGGTTGGGCCAAAAAAAAAAAATATATTGTTTTGAATTCTAACGACTTCGATTTTGACAAATTCATATATTCAAGAGGAAGAAAACACTCTTAACACATGAAAGTTTGATCAAAATGACACTTAAAAACGTTTTAACTTACATAATTATTGTGTATGAACTTACTTTCAAATTCATATATAGAGAATTTAGGGTTTAAATGATTTATGTCAATTGCACAACCTAAGTTTAAAAGTCCATCATGAATTACCATTTCAAGAGATTGCTATCAACTTTATGTTTATGAGAAATTAAAGTCGAAGAAATTCTTGAAAACTAATTGTCAAAGAGTTTGTCTTATTATGAATACATGGATATCTATTCAAATAATCAATTACATGTGTTTAACGGCTCATTTTATCAATAATGATTGAAAGTTGTAAAAAAAGATCTTGAATTTTATCCGAGTTGATGATCATAAGGTTGTTGATTTGGGCAATACTATTGAAAAGTGTTTGATTGATTTAGGAATTGAAAAGGTTCTCATTGTTATGATAGACAATGCAAGTTCAAATGATGTGATAGGTAGACACTTGAAAGATTTTTTTTAATAATTGGGGTCATAACATCTCGGACGATGAATTCTTTCATATGAGGTGCATGATCTCGGACGGTGAATTCTTTCATATGAGGTGTATGACTCATATTTTGAATCTTATTATTTTTGATAGGTTAAAAAATGCAAATATGTCGTTCAAGTTGTCGTGGGGTATGTTATATTATCTCTAGCTTGGTTGGAAAAATTCAATGAATGTATAGAGATTAAAAAAATTGATTCTAAGAGTTTGTTATATCTAGACGTTTCAACTATGTAGAATTCAACTTGTTTGATGTTAGATTCTAACTAAAAAAAATTGAGAGAGCTTTTAAGAGATATAAATAAATTGATCATTTATATAGGAATGAACTTGATGTGGATTTTGGTGATGAGATATTTGGACCACCTAATGTCGAAAATTGGAGGACTTATAGAAAGATGGTGATAATATTAAAAAATTTATATGGCCTTACTTTGTCTATTTCGGATAATTCATATGTCACTTCCGGATAGTTCATATGTCACTTCGATAATTATTTTGATGAAATTTGTTCTCTTGAAGCTAATTTGAGAGAATGGCAAGAAAATGCCGATGATGATACTTATTCAATGGCTAGTAAAATGAGAGAAAGTTTGATAAGTATTGGAGAGACATAAAGAAAATGAATAAATTAATTTATATTAAGGTCATACTTGATCCAACACATTAGCTTGTTTATGTTGCATTTACATTAAATGAATTGCATGGTGACTTGATTGGAGAAAAGGTGACAATTGATGTGAGGGAATTTATTTTTGCCTTGTATGTTTCATATTGTAATTCACCAACATATCAAGGTCAAAGTAGTAAAAATAATGGGATAATGACAGTTTCAAGGGGAAGTGATGTAACGGATGGCAAAAAAAAAAAAAAGAAGACAATTCGGGGATGTCACGGTTTCAAAAATTCAATAAAAGCGAAGGTGGAGATAATATAGCAGAGTTGGATAAGCATCTTTATGAATGTGTCAAAATTAGTGATGATGATTTTGATATTTTGGATTGGTAGAAAAATAATTCTCTTCGATTTTTCATCCTTTTACAAATAGCTCGTGATGTATTGATGGTTCCAATATCTATCGTTTTGTCGAATCGATATTTAATATTGGAGGAAGAGTTTTTTATGCCTTGAGGAGTTCCTTAACTCCCAACATTATGTAATCTCTTATATGTGCTTAAGATTGGCTTCAAAATTCATTGGTGCCAATTAATACCGAAGAATATTTGCAAGATATTAAGAAACTTGAAGCCGGTAAGTTTTTCAACTCTTCTTTTTTCATTTGTCATTTTTTTCCTCTAAATTACTATTAAAGTGTTGATTTTTTTATTTATATTTTTAGGTTTATTAGAACTTTCAATGAAAGCACACATGATAGATATATGATGAGTTGATGATGTTTTGGTCTTTTGAGTGATATGAGTAAGTTTCTAATAAAATGTCTTTGTGTGTGTCCGTGTTTATTTGTAAATATCTTTATATTTTATGGAATTGACTATTTCTAGGAGTTCCTTGAATTATTTTACTTGACAAGTTGTTAGTATTGAATTGTTGGCTTGTTGCTTTTATTTTGTTGAATTATTGATTTTACTTGGTAATTTGGGAGTTTTGAATTATTGTTTTTATTTTGTTGAATCGTTTTTGAATTTTGAAGTGTTGCATTGCATGCATGAATTTTATTATAGTAAGGATCGTTGAGATATTTAAGTATTACATCCTTGCTGTTACATATGAAAATTGTAACTTTGTTTCCTTATGAAGAAGTGTTGGACTTGGTTGTTTGTTTTGGATTGTGACCCAGTCCTATAGTTTTAATTGTGTAGAGAAGAACAATGACATTAGTTTTGCTCTCGAACCAAGGCTGGATTTGTAATGATGCAGGACAGTTTTTGAAAATATTGAATGTACTACTTAGTGAGGTATTATGGTAAGGGCGTGAGGTACATGAAATTAGGGATTGGTTTATCCAACCATTAGGTTGATGAGGAGATTTTGTACCAAACTAAGTTGATGAGGATATTGTGTTTACTGCTTTTGAACGGAGTCCCCAAGTAAGGTTGATGAGGATATTATGTAACAAACATTAATAGTTCAACATCACTTTTTTTTTTTTTTAAATTTTTCCCCAAAAAAAGTAAAAATCGAATTATCGAAAACTGAAACCAGATTTCAGTTTTTTAATTGAATAACATTTTGGTTCGATTTTGATTTTTTTTCTTGAAAATTTGGTTAACGGAAACGAGCAAAAATATTTCAAAAAAAAAAAAAAAACCCTCTAATTGTGTATCTTTCCTGTGTTGTTTCTGGGTATTTCCCAAATAATTGTCCCTTCTTGGGAGCACAAGTAACTAGTAACAGCGAAGTCATAAACAATTGTAACATTGGCAGTGCACGTTTGACAGTGCACGTTTGACGGTATGGTAGCTAACGCAAGGCCATGACGGTATAGTAGCTCTTCTGAGTTGAGAGAACCATCGAGCCATCCGCCAGGGCCAGGTCCACACAGTGTCTCATCGTTTGTCCTTAGGAGGACTAACCATGGTACATAGTCGATTAAATTATAAATTAGTTCTTTTAGTTTTTTAAAACGAATTATATCATTTTTATATTTTCAAAAACTAATTAATTTGTTTTTAAATCTATTTACAACTTATTCATTTTTTTTCTTTTCAATTTATATTTGTTTTTAATTTTAAGAAAAATAAATTATTAAAAAACATGGAAGGATTGATAAGCAAATAAGAATTTTTAAAATGAATTATTATTAAATTAATTATAATTAATAATAATTATAAGACTAACTAATTAATTTTTAATACAAAAGAAATTATGTAATTCCTTTTAAAAAAACCAGAAGAACTAATTTATGATTTACTCCCACATACTCTTGCATCTTGATAAATTTTTCCAGGATTACAAAAATAGCCCTTGCTTGGTGCGCAATGAATGTCTTGGGAGCATATGCACAATCCTTCCAGTGCACACCCCTCTTTTACAATGTTCACCTCACCTTTTAGTCCAAGAACTTGGTCTGTCCACTCACTGGAAAAAAGCCCCAATGGATCATACATCTTCTTTACCCTCAAGAATGTTCCAGCTTTTTTGTATTTCTTAAGTGCACCATTAAATACTAGGTTTCTATTCTTCCCCCAGTGTGGCAAGCCTCCGTACTTAAACACTGCGAGTTGCTCAATTTCTTCAAGTATGTCTTCATAAAGTCTAGGTTTCGTGGGGTCTTTGTGTCGATAGAATGTAATATCAAAATCCAATGCATCATCTTGCTTGCCCAAGTAGGCACTTGATGCCTTAACGTAGCGCATGAGGATACCATTGTACTGGTCTAGGCCACATAGCGCTCTAGGCTCCAATTTGACTAGCTTTTGCACATCTTGAATGAAGCCCTTCACAAGTGACAGGCTGATACTGAACGTGGCTTGGAAAAAATACTCACCCTTAATTCTTGAATCCCATGGACATGCCGTGATCAACGCATCTTCAGGGCTATCGAGACAAGTTCCTGATGACTGGAGGCGATTGTGGTATCCAATTACAGGATAGCCCGTGAAAACCATACCTGCAAATTAAAGTCCAGAATACCAAAATATTAGTACCAGAAATTAACGTGGCAATCAAATTTGAAACAGATGTATGTTGTGATTTAGAACAAAAGGAATAATTAATTAGTTGGAAACAGAATTACCATTGTTCGTTAATCCATAAGCTGAGGAAATGAGCGTGGATGCAATTAGTTTTGCGCTAGCGCACTTCCCACCAGCGTCTTTCAAGAATTCCTGAGTGTCCTCTAATAATTAAAACAAAAAGGGAATTAAAACATAAAAAAAAAAAAAAGAGGCATCGATAGGCGTATATGCAACGTATCCATTTCTAATTAGTTTATATAAAATATGTTTACGGTCTACTAGCAAACCTGTGCTTCTAACGACGGCCAATCCAAGAGAAAGAGTAGAGCGGAATGGGATGTAGTCGTTGAGGCCATTGCCAGAGGTATTGGAAGAAACCCGATCATCAATTCGATAGGCTGCCTTGCCTTGACTAGGATACCACGATATGTCCGCAAACTCATGTTGACTACCAAAGCTAGCCACCTGATCTCCTAAGTCGCTGTCATTCTTCACCACATAGGAAACGGATCGTTTGAACATGGGTTGCAGTTGCAGAGTAACCTGAACAAACCGAGACTCATTTGGGTTTAATATTTTCACTTATAATTTACTAATTGAACCAACCTCTAATATATATATATATATATATATATTTCGAGAAGGTGCAAAATCTAAAAGCTATAAAACTTCTGGATTTTGAAGCACTTTTAATTTCTTTTTCCCTATATTATATGTTACCTCTGTTTCAATATTTTTTTAACCAAACATTTTTTCTTTAACCACTGTTATAATTAGAAGTAAAACCAATAATTAAAATCAGCTATATTACAACCTCTAGGCCAAACATTACTTAGTATATATCTGCGCATTTATAGACATGGCAGTCTTCACCATTCCATGTGAGGGTCCAATCACATGGTTACAGTTATAGGTTTGGTACAATAATACCATTATAGGCAAAAAGTTATGCTTCTATATATATCAAAGCAGGCAGGACTCGACATTAATGATAGCAAAAGGAGACATTAGTGGTTCTGCCTATTGTCCAGCTAGCAAGTTACTAATTACTATTGCACTTTGTCTCTCTGTGTTTTTTTTTTCCTTCTTAGTTTGGGAGGCCGGAAAATAGTTTTTGTTTTTAAAGCATATGGTACGTACTGTGTTATGCTACCATCATTTTTGTATTTTGAAGCTAAAAAATAATTAAAAGTCAGAAAAAGTTTTAAGAATTATTTTCGTTCATAAACATTACTCCTATTACGTGAATGTGGGACGTACAAACAAAATCAACGTTATTATAACCCCTGTAAAAAAAAAAAAAAGAAGGAAATTAGAAAATTCAAATTATATCCTTATCGGATCCCATTGTGTTAACTATTTAACACGATCGATGATATTCGCTTTCCATAATCAAATCAGTTTACCACGAAAACGATTGTATGATTTTTCAAAGAGAAAATACCACCTTTAATTTGTTAAAATCCGAAGAACTCTATCCAAAGACTTTAAACCACATGTAAGATAGAAGGCAAAAACAAACGGTTTACTAATAACAAGAATATTGGTTACACTGATCTAGACATGTATTCTTAAAATCATTTTGAAAAGAGATTTAATTTAAGTTGAGGTGCAAGTTTTTTTTTTTTTTTTTTTTTTTTTTTTTTTTTTTTTTAAAATTCCTTATCATTTAAGCCAAAAAAAAAAAAAAAAAAAATTGAAAGTCATGTGACATACTTAGTACTTAAGTTTTAACATGATCGAACAACCCTTCTATTGTCGGTTTCCACCAGAACAAATCGTCTCCTTTTTACAACCTGTTCCTACCGAGAAAAACAGAAAGACTCCCCGCCTGCCCTCTTCCTCCACGCTATGTGTTGATAAGGTACAATTCTATGTCTGTACTTTGAATTATATTCCATCTATGTGACTATGTCCTTTTCTCATGCAAGATCCAAAATATATTTCTTCAAATGCAATCCAACAATGAAAAGACGGGGAAGTTGTTTTTAATTACCATATTGTAACATGCGTCCTTAATTATCTATATCGGTCTGCAAGTCGATCGCTTCTCCTTGTCTCAATAAGGTTTAGGGGGAAGAAAAGAGTCTAAAATTTTAATGATATGGTTTGGTCTTTAGTTTTTGTTGCTTAATCTAAACCTATTAATATATAGTATATGGCTTTTCTGCTATCGAGTATCAACTTGAGTAACTTTTTAATCTCACCAATTTTTTGTTATCTCATCTCAATCTTTCTTTTATCATAAAAAAATGCTACTATATAGAGATGTAGGACATATAGTTTAGTTAATTATATTAAAATAATTTCTTTATTCTACGGCCGAATCCTTTCTAAAGGGACACTAATGTAACTCTAACCGTAGAGAAGCGAAGCATCAAGCCTAAGGAAGGACAGGGAAAAAAACCAACGACTTCGTACCTTCGAAATAACTCCTAGAACTCCAAGCGAGACCTTGGCGGCATTAAGTTCCCAACTACTATTCTCGTTGAGCTTCCGGACCTTAGCATATCCATCTTCAGGTCCTCCTGGACTAACGATTGTTAGTGCCACCACATAATCATGAACTGAACTCCCTTTGCCCCACAATGTGCTACCATGAGCACCCGTGCTCAATAGGCCACCAATAGTCAAGCCCCACCAATATGGTGAGTAAGGCAAGGCAAGGCCAGCCTTGGCAGCCTCGTTGATAAGTTGTCTCAGCGTGACTCCACTTTCTACGCTCATTGTCATCGATTGGACGTCAATTTCCAATGTATGATCGAGGTAATTGGTGCTTATAAGTAATCCATTTTCGCCATCAGGGCAAACTAGTTTAGGGATGCTATGAGAGTAGCGAGTTGCCACTTTCATCTTTCTTTTGGCCTTGGTTGCTCCTGCTACTATTGAAATTAGCTCCTCTTCTGTGGTGGGGTATGCAACGTTTGCTGCTTGACATATGCTGCGATCAGGGAAAGCGCCATACGAGTTTGTGATGGTGCAGTTCATGTTTCTTGATGAGCATTTGATATGCTCCTCTGGGGGCTGCAATCCACTGCAAAGACCACCAACAGGAGGCAGCTGGTTGATAGGAGGATCTGATGGAATACTTCCATTTTTCGAGTCTTGACAATATGGCTTGGTTGAGATAATTTTTGATAATCTTATATTTACTATACCTACATACGGATATATATATGTATATATACACACACATGCCTGCCGCAACCTGGTGCTGATATGTGGACACCTGTATAGCGTAAACGGTTTGTGCAAAAAAAATTAAAGATACCAATTATGATGCTTTCAAGTCAAGAGAATTACAATGATTAATTTTTTACTTTTAGACCACCTGATTTTTATATTCCTATAAATCGTTGAATTTTTCTTTTGTTAATTAATGGGGGTTAAAGCCTACCTAAATCCTCGAGTTTGTATATAGCGTGTTGCAAATGGAAATGGGAAGCCGGCTGATTTTAACACTCCCATCTATAAATTGTTGAATTTTTCTTTTGTTAATTGATTTACGGTGGTTGAAGCCGACCTTAATCCTTGAGTTTGTATATAGCGTGTTGCAAATGGAAATGGGATCATTATCTTTTGTTGAGATAAACAAGATTTGTTTTATCATTATGGAAGGAGAGACAAGAAAGTAATTTTTGAAAGCACGACTAAATCAATCTATAATTAATGAATGTATCCTCGTGACAAGTGGATCGCGGTTGTTTTAACAGGAAATCCTAAAGAGTTTCTTTACTTCAGAACTATTGAGTATTGAGGTTTTGAACTAACTTCACTTAAATAATTTCTCCACCTGGCACCTGTCACACCTTGAAGGATAGGTGTTCCATCTCTCCACTCTCGGAGGCAGCAGCCTTTAAAGTGAAGCTTGTTGATTCACAAGCTAAGAAGAACCGTGAGGGAGTAGGTATGTTTTTGTGGGTGTGTTGCACTATAGCTAGTGCACAACATGTGGTGCGAAGCCGACACATTTTCGCACACAGCATCTCCCTCGTCCTGCCATATCAAAAGAATTTTTAAGTCAGTGAGTGCCTTATGCATTTTGTACACTTGCTTTTAACAATGTGGCCAAGTCCCAACCATAATTTTCTCTCGTGGCTTGATCTATCTATATTTTCAATGCATCTTTCCTATTCTACTACGAGTTTCTCATTTATCATTATTATCCCAATCCCATTAAATTTAGGGCGATTTTGTGCCCACCGTCTTCGTGATTTCATGATTGGTTATTCCAATCAGTTCAATCAGAAGTTGACTTGCGAAGAAGATATGAAGTCCAAGCATTTGAGTTCTTTTATATTAAGTGATGGTATTGTGACTTATATAAGTAACGATCAACTAATAAAAAAAAATATAAATAATGAGAGGCATGGGAGGAAGAGCACGTAATGCTAACATAGCGTAAGTCGTGTAGGCTGGTGGGTAGTCAAAGTTTAAATAGGTGAAATTTAAGTGTTGTTTGGAGTGTAAGTAGAAGAGTTTTGAAATAAATAGTTCAAGAGTTTCTTTTACTAGAGATAAAAAATTCTCTAATGCAAAAGTTATTTTTTTTCATAATGATATAAGGTTGATATTTATAGGAAAAGATGGTGGTTCTTAATTGTTAGAATCATGTCACATCATCCAAGTTTGAATTACATTAGATTTGGGTTGAAAGATTTAGGTTCTTTGGGTTAAACTGCTTCAATTTACTAGCAAAAGTTAAAAAATAATAATAATAATAATTGAGCCTTCCTTTAGTGACTCTACTTTGAGTTTATCAAGTCAATTTTTCTAATACATCTCAAAGACAAGACATGAACATTGGTGCTCACAAAACACCCATGTCCATCCTTACAACCAATGACCTTGTCTTGAGTGAGGCTCATCCTCAATCCAATCTTTTTGTGGTATAGTTTGAGTTCAAGTCAATTTTTTTTTTTTAAAAAAAAACATAGATTAGCATAATAACAAATTAGCTAAGTTATTTAATTAATTTTTATGGACAAATTGAACCTATATATTTAGCCTTCGCATAGACACTCTTGTTAGAAAGGGCATTTATGTTATCATGTACACGAAGATAGAGCAATAATACATACATGCATACATATATAGATATATATTTATGTGTGTGCACATACATACATATACATACATATCTATATATGTATGTATGTATAAAGCTAGAAACATAAATGACAATAATTATGATGAACTTGCCACGAGTATTTTGATGTTCGAAATGGATTTTTGACATTGAAGATAGCCTTTTTATGGGTTTTATGTCACAACAAGTCTTTTATATAGTCTTTTTTTTGACTTTTCAAACTTAAAAAAGACTTATTGACGTTATTATGAAAAATTTTGTTTTCTTAACTATCCATATAAAATAGAAACCCTAGTTGTCAAAAAAAAAAAAAAAAACTTTTAATTCATAATTTTTTTTTAGTTGAGAGAAAAAAAAACTCTTCCTTAAAATTCTTGAGACATCACCATACTTTTAACTTCCATAACCCGTGGATACATAAGAGTTAAATTCCCAACAATAATTTTTTTAAACCAATAGCAAGCAACATATTGTTGGTGTGCTACAACACTCATTGATTGCTGAACATTGCTAGCATGCTTGCAATGTTGTTGACTACGATGCATGTTAGCGACCTCTACTAGTCTGCAGTCCGTACACACGACTAGCGAGTGGTGAAATATTTTTTCTTTTGAATATATATATATATATGATGAAGCTGGCTAGTAATTTTTTTTTCTATTTGACATCAATTTTTTTTTATTAAGTTAAAAAAAAATATGACAAATCATGGTAGCCAATCTCTTTTCGTGGCGGACAACGCTTGCTAGCTTTTTTTTTTTTTTTATGTAAAACGAGTGCTAGCCAGCTTTTATTACGAGTGAGTTGTGCTTGTCGGCTCTAAAACAACCTTTTTGCTTTGAGAATTAATAAAATATTTGAGAAGTTTCTCAAATCTCCCGAATCTTTGTGTTTAGAGTTTGTTGTTTACATCTTTGACTTCATTAACCAATGTAGGTTCTTTGATCACAATCTCACATAAAGTGAAGTGGAGTTATCAATTTTGTCAAAATTATCTAAGGTTAAACTCTAATAAATTTGGCAATCAACATAGCTTGGCTTTACTTGTTAGTTTCTTTATTTCGAAATTCAAGTTTAAGACATAATTTAAACAAAAATTTGACTTAGCGAGAAAATGGTACAAAATTTATCGGATTAGTCTAAACTTTGGAAAGTATTTTAATCTATCTCTTAACTATATTATGTTAAAATTTTAGGTCATTTTGAATTGATTTTCTTGGTGAACACAATTAATCTTTGTGACGGATCTATAGAAAATTCCGTTTGTGTTGATTTCGGAATTACTTAGTTCCTAACCTAAATAACCAAGGTTCGAACTTTCTTTTTACCATCAATTCCATAAGAAAACTTTGAATTCTTTAATCTTGTAAGGATTTCCAAATTTGTTGGCAACACATAAAGAGTTGGGAGTTGGGCTTGTTTTAATTCTTCACAAAAACAATCTCAACTTGTTCAAATTCCTTAATTTTATTATAAAGTTATTTTATTTTTTAGTTTTTGTGACAAAAAGTGATTGTCAATTCCTTTGCTTGCAAGCTCTTTTTCTTGACAAGCAATGCTTGACGAGTCCTTTTCGTGGCGAGCGATACGAGCCGACTCTTTTTATGGAAGAGAGCTTGCTAGTACTTTTCTATGTGAGCAGTGCTTGCCGACTCTTATTCTTGGTAAGCACTATTTGCCAATAATTTTTTTTTAATTTTTTGTTTTATACATTTTTAAAAGAAAAATTTTTTGTGAAATTTTAAATTTGTAAAAGTTAGGAACAAGGCCATTACGTAAAAACCATTTTTTTAAAAAATTATTTTCACAAATACATTAATAATTTAGTCTTAACATTTTTTTTATTAGTTATTCCAATTTGGACTTACTACTTCATTTTTTTATTGGAGTGAAGGAAAAAAAATTTGAATAATTTTTTTTATGTGACAAGTAGTGGTAGCCTGCTCCTTTTAGTGGTGGGTAGTGCTTGCCAAGTCTTTTTTATGGTAAGCGAGTGCTTACTAGTTCTTTTTGTAACAAGCAATTGACCATTATTTTTCTGGTAATTAGATTTGCTAAAAAAAAATAACTAAGTATAAGTGGAGAACTTACTTGACATATAACATAAGTAGAGAACCTACTTGTCAAATAAATAGTCTTCAAGTGTTGTGCTAAGTGCACTCACTCGCTACTTTTTTGATAAATAGATAGTTTCCAAATATCATACTAGGTACAATAACTCTGTTACTTCTTTACTTAAAGATTAGCTAAGTATATTGAATTTTCTTTTTAGTCAAAATTTGACAAGAAGGAAGTCTCAAAGTGAGGAGACTTGTCGAGTATAAAATTCATACTTGACAATAGTAATGGTCCATCATATAAGATTCTAAAAAAAAAAAATGAATATATAGATTATTCTCAAAGTTGTTCGAATCTTGAATGCTATATATTATTTTAAACAAATACTTAGAGAGACAATTAGTTCTTAAGCAAGCTTCATCTTCTCTCTAAGTTTTCACTCCATCAATTGAGAAGGAGAAAACTTGTCTTGAGAGCTAAACGAGTAATAATGAAATTAAAAAAAATCATTTTTTTTCATGGCTTGGCTAACACACGACTTGACTAGATAGAACATGATGTTGCCACTAGAAAGTGTAACAGAACATGAATTATGAAATTCTCATAGCCCGACTAGCATACGGTTTGGCTAGAAAGAACGAGCGTTGCTATCGGAAAGAAAAAAATTAGTTTGAAATACTCATAACTTGACCGAGCACGTAACTTGACCAGATTGACATGGCATTGTCATTAGGAAAACATTTAGTATGAAATACTCATAGCCTAGTTGGTGTAGTAGCTTGGCCGGATAAATATGACACTGCTATAAAAAAATAAAAAAATTGAGTATGAAATACTTATGGTATGATCAATGCATAGCTTGGCCGGATAAACATGGTATGGTCATCGGAAAGAAAAAATTGAGTATGAAATACTCATAACTTAGCTAACGTGTAGCTTACTTGATGAGCATGGCATTGCCATCATAAAAAAATAATTAAGTATTAAATACTCACAGACCTAGTTAACACATAACTTGGTCGGATGAATATGACATTGCCATCAAAAGGAAAAACTTGGTATGAAACACTCAAGGCCAAGTCGACGAGTAGTTTGACCGGATAAACATAACATTAGCATTAGAAAGAAAAAATGAGTATGGAATACTCATAGCTTGAATAGTGTGTAACCTCACTAGATGAACATGTTGTTGCCATAAAAAAGAATAAAAAAACTAAGTATGAAATTCTCTTTGCTTGGCCAATGCATAACTTGACCATATACGCACGGTGTTCCCATCATAAAGAAAAAGTGAGTATGAAATACTCAAAGCCTAGCATGTGCTTAGCATGGCTAGATGACATGGCATTGCTATCGGAAAAAAAACCGAGTATGAAATACTCACGGCCCGATCAACACGCGAGCTTGGCTAGACGAATATTGTATT